AAGGTGTACACATGCAAAACACATCACTATTAAAGCAACATAACCATCATCGCTTCCCACACCTGAAAAATAATTAAAATCTCTCCTGGAAACTATAAATGGATGCACATGCTGTGAATTTTCAGTTGCAAGTTTCTAGTGCCTTTTCCAGTTCCCAAGATCCTCTAAAAATATTAAGACAGATTGCGTGTGCATACTTAATATGCTGTCCTAAAGGACTGCACATCTCAGAGCCCTCTGTCCATCCAAAAGACTGTGCAGAGGTGCATGGGGGGGGGGGGGAAATGGAGTTGGAAAATCTGCACTTTCATTCCTGCCTTCAGGGTCAGAGCTGTGACTAGGGCATTGGGATGGGTGGAGGGGGGTGATCTACATCATCCTGTGATCTTCCATTGAGCCCTTCTGACATCAGTGGATGCTAAAAGTTCACTAAATGCAATAGGGACAGTGTGAAAGTGAAATGGGACTGCACAAGCCAGAATGGTTTTAGTTTTAGTTTTAGTTTGAAGCCTTGCTGAAAACAGTGGCACGTTTTAGACACAGGAAAGTGCTTTAGGACTCAGTCCCTTGCAATATTACATTATTATCACTTCATGATGCCCAGAACCCATCTGAAACGCAGTGGAATGGCACGGAATGCCACCTTCAAAGTGAGCTCCATCAGCCAAATGTGCCAGTCACACATGACTCAATGGGGGTGATGTAATAAGCTACAGAACGTCCATGGAAACCACATTACCTGTTCCAGGCAATAACCCGCATCTCAGAGAAATGCTCTGCCACAGCAACTTCTGACTCAAACAAACCAACGTCACCAGATATACATTACTGTACGGGAGGGTGCTGTCAGTCATGAAATATCCATAAGAACATCACCCGGTATCCATTCTGCGCACTGGTGCATATTCTGGAAAATGATGACTGCAAAAGCAGGTTCCAAGTGAGTCCAATCAACCAAATTCACCAGTTACTAGATGGGAGTAATACAATAAGCCATAAGCAAACGCTATCACTCATGTTAGAATAAAAAGCCTTTAATATCTATTACAACAATATAATAAAACAAAACAGCATTAAAAAGTACACATATGTGCTTTAACTCAGCCCTACCAAGTAACATTTGACATAATCTAATTACATTTGTCTGTTCTTCAACCAACCAAAGTTATATATGTTTAATTCACCACTGAAAACAATCGCAGTGTGTTGCAATTGTTTGGGAGGCTTTAACTTTGAACATTTCAAGCTGTTGATTCCCATTTGATTAAATACAGCAAGTCAATTTTCATGACAGTGATGCATAGGAAACGGGTTGTGACTGCCAAAACTCCCTACTGCACAATACAATTTCATAAAAAATTAAGATCATGGCTAATTTTCAGACTAGTACAATGTACACATATATTTAGTTGGTTTTACCACTGGGGAAACTGATGTTCTAGACCATTTTTCCAAAATACGGTTGATTGCTTGCAACTCATACTGGAATGTGGTTTCTGAAAATGATTTGCAGCTTATCACTGTGAATGAATTTGGTCTGGCTAGCTGAGACATTGCTGATCTGGGACATTTTCCCAGAATACTGTTTGTAGCTGGGCTAGTTAGCCAAAGGTACTTTCTGTGGAAATTTACAACTTATCGCATCAGTCTGATCTAGTCATGCATGACTAGTGAACTTGGTTGGTTTGGCTCACTTGGAAGTTGGCCTCCTGGATCATTCTGTTTTGTTCTGTTTGAATTCTGGGCATTGCAGTTAATAATAAAGTAATATGGCAGAAGTTAGACCCCTAAAATACTGTTGTTGAGTGTTCTAATACACAGCATTATTGTGGTTATGTTGTGCTGTAAAGTAGATGGAGCATTCTGGTCTGTTCTGCTCTGAATTTGGCAACTTCGCAATGGGGTAACATCAGAAGTTTCCCTGCTCCTTAGCAGAAACTGGCAAAAGTGAGTAGACTACCCTTATTCTGACATCCATTCATGCACCATGTCCTGACAGACCAATGTCTTGGTGGGCAGCAGATACTCTGTAGCTCAGGAGAAAATGTGGAGAAAATTTCAACACAAAGCTGGCAATTTCTCATGCTGCAGAAGCTTAACATTCACCTTCTGATCTAACCATTCTGTGTAGAAAAAAGGTATAGCATGAAAAGGAAAGCCTATAAACTCATTACCCTTCACTTTATTGTAATAAAAATGGGAGCACGGCTAGACAACACAGTCCTGGAAGGTGACCAGAGCACCCCAGGAAGTCAACAAAGATCCTGGATCCTAAGTTAAGTGTGTTACCTGAAGGTAGAATATGGGATTCTGTGAATTATAAACTGTGCAATCTTAATGTTTATTTGGTGGTTTCATTGTACTCAATGGGTTCTACTGTAGATAAAAGTAGGCATAGGATCACAGCCCAAAACATGTATTCTAATGTTCTGTGGCATCACAATTTTTCAGTCTCTACCTCATATTAATTTATACAATCCAATGTAAATGTATACAAATCCTATGTGTTCCTATTTCAGGGTTGGAGCCAAGCTTTTATGCTTAAAAGCAGTTCTACTGAAAATCAAGAACCTTAAGTTAATCACTTAGCCCTTTGTTTTCAGTGACTCTGTCTAGGTCTGGATCCAACTCTCAAGCTCAGCTTTAAGGTAGCACAACTCTGAGTGGCCTGCAAAGGACTTGATCAGGAGGTCTGATTACTAGCCAGGAGGCAACCTGGACAGGAAACAGCATAGACAGAATTTAGGCAGAAAAGAATGGACCTTTTATTCCAGTGGCCATCTCCTGAGAGAAAGGGAGCAATGTGTGGCTAACTAGAGGTTGTCCATGGGGCCACGAAGGGTCGGACATGACTTTGCAACTAGCAACAACAGAGATGGAGATGGGATCTCCCAGAATTACTCAAATCACTTTATCCTGTTACTTCATGGTCAGGAAGAAGCTCAAGAGAACTGTGAAATGATTTTCCAGGGGATGAGAAGCAGCTGGCAATAAAAGTTACGACAGTTGCAATGCGTCTTTGAGTCTATCCATGCACAACACCTTCATGGGAAGGTGGTGCCATTGCCCATTTGCATCCTTTTCAGCCTAACCGAACTGAGCCCAAGGCAGCAGGCCATCTAAACTGCAGCATGGTTAATGCTGAAGCATCACAATAATTTAATGTAACAGGCAGCTCCAGATGTGGTTTCTATTGATCAACAATTGTCTGAACTGAATGAACCATTTGTATCAATTATACTTATTGATGATGGATATATCTAATTAGGATAAATCAGTCCAGCAACTCATAAACAAATGAAGTGGTACCTTGGCTCATGAACTTAATCTGTTCCATGACTCTGGTTGTGACCCAAATTGGTTGTGACCCAAGTCAAATTTCCCCATAAGATTCAAGGTAAATAAGGGTAATCCGTTCTGCCCCCTCTGAATGTGGTTATGTGCCTATTTTTGGTCATGAGCCAAGTCAAATTTCTCCATAAGGTTTAATGTAAAAAAGGTTAATCCGTTCTGTAACGTTATCGTTCATCAGAGTCAACACTCTGTTCATTACAGTTATGTTGGGGTGGTGCTTCTCAAAGAAATCCTGGCACAGGCGTGCTCCTGCAGGAAAGATGGAAGCAATCTCGGCCATCTCCCCCCCCCCGCAACCAGCATGATGGCGGCCATCTCCCCACCCTCATCCCCGCGTGGGGAGATGGCCTCGATCGCAGTTGCATTCGTGCAGGGAAGATGCGCGTGATCACAGGCGTGCTGCTGCAGAAAAGACAGGCACAGCACAGCACAGCCACGATCACGTACGTCTTCCCTGCATGAACGCAACTGGCCATCGTGGCCATCTCCCCACTTGGAGGGTGGGGAGATGGCTGTGATCTTGGTTGCCACCCAATGTGGAGTTTGCGACCCAAGTCAAAATTTTCATGAAATTTTTGTTCACAACCCTGATTTGGTTGTGAACCAAGTCGTTTGTGAGCCGAGGTACCACTGTAACTGTAATTATAATGTAAAGTTATCCTTCAAGAAAGCAGTTCCTAGTGGTTGATCTAGCACTTCAATCTCTGTTGCTCTAAGTAAAATTGAATCAAATTAGTTGTGTGAAAAAAATATTAGGAAGAGGCTGGCCATCTTTTATGCTGGAGGCCTACAAAGGAAGATGCTTGAGGGATCCATATTATTACTTTGCATTTATATTCTGTAGCTTACATAGCTCCACATTATCCTCACAACAACCCTGTGAGGAAGGTTAAGCTGAGAGTGACTGGCCCAAAGCTACCCAATGAGCTTCATGGCCAAGCAGGGACTGGATGCTGGCTCTCCTGGGTGAGTTTGATCACCTGTAAAATGTATTCTTACTCAACAAAGAAATGAATTATGACTCAGTAAGTTTTTTGCTTCTTGTTTTACATTTTAACATTCCAATACTATTAAAATATATGTGGACCCACACTCCACATAATGTCCACTTAAGAATTTGGCACACCTTAGTGTGCACTCCTATGCTAGGTGGAAAAAGAGTTCTACAGTTTCCGGCTTGTCCCAGTCAGCAGGGCTGGCTGGAGTAATGCTGGGAGTTGTATGGCTTTTTTCTGTCTAACCACTCATAGGATCACCCCCTTTCTAGGAGCAGAGAGCCAAACTAAGCTATTAACCCGAACTGCAGTAAGAGTCATTTATATGTGCACATACTCTAGATTCAGTCTGCTCTCTGTGAATAACCAGGTTATTTTTGGGGGGAGCTGATTAATGAGCAAGTTCTCATTGCTTAAATATGTAACTGAAGTTTCTGAAACAAAAACCAGTTGCTGTACAATGCAACCACAATCCAACCAAAATTACTTTTGAAATGCATTCTTTAGCAGGCAGCATGTCTTGTTCTATTAGTTCTCTATAAACGCATGAGGAAAGTGCTGGAATCCTATATACTTACCTGAACTTAGCAGTATTAATTTCTGAGTAGACATGGATGGGATTGTACCATTGGCATGTATATGATACCTTAGTGATTTTTCAGTATTCTTTATTAATAATATAGGAAAAAATATCCTCCAACGCAGGAAGAAAGAAGGAATGAACAAACCTTTGAGTTACAAATATATGCACCAGATACTGCAGATGAGTATTCTCTAATTAGGATAAAGCACTGCACTAAGTAGGCACTGGAATAAAGCTATTTATTCCAATATTATAATAAAAAAGCATTTAAGGAGAACAATAAGCCAAAAGTACTTCAAAAGATGGTAGTGTAAGGAAGGAAGTTACTGGAATACAAAAGTATGACCAAAGATGTTGTAATTTTAACTAGCAAGGTCATTTGGGGAAATATACAATAGCTCTTGTCAAAACCTTTCATTCCCCAAATCGTAGACAATACATGCAGTTGAAGGACATTAAGAACAAGTGCAATTATAAAATACTGTGTATGCGTTCCATCTGCTAAATACAGGTCCTAGAAGGTCAACTCCCAAGATGGTGGTATAAAGAAATCACTAACCAAGTGCATCTTGAGTCCCCCTTGGAGAACAAAATGTCCTGTACAACCAAATCCTTCTGTATTCTGCCTTTCAATTTAATAATCATTTTTTTGCAGAACGAACTTGTTCAACCCATGAATGTTGTATGCAACATTAAAAAACAAACACACAAGACCCACTTGCATGGGTATAGGCACACTAGAATTAATGGGAATCATAAATGGCCATCAAAAGACCATATAAAAGAACTGATTTCTTAGCAGATTAGAGAAAGAAAAAAAGTATTTTGGGATCTATGCACCCTAATATGGTAATTCCTTGTATTCACAGGACATCAAATAAACACACAAGTTCCTTTTCCCAGAGTGACTTCTGGGTCACTCAATGGAAAGAACGATCATTTTCCTGCCCTGTCCACCGACTTGGATGGGCTCCCATTTACACAAAGTGGCCAGTTCCATACCAGTGGGTGCAGAGCCCTGAACTGGGCCAATGTGCTTTGGAGAAAAGTGTGTGAACTATTTTCCTAACTGACATGTGGCTACACAGAGAAGGTATATGTATAATGCATACTCAGAAGTATAAATGTGTATCGGAAGGGTTGCTATTTACAAAAGCAGGTATCTGCATGTCCAAAATACAGCTACACATTCCATAAAATGATGGAATCCGCAAAACACAAGGTGACCACATGATTAGATTTCAGCTAAGGCAAGTCTTTGGTAGGCCATGTTAACACACTGAGCACAAGCTACTAGTTATGTGAAAGTACTATTGTAGTTGGTATAACTGCAGTTTGTATGAAAAAATAATTTTTAAAAGAATTGCAAGAAGAGCAGCACATCTTTAAATTATGGGGGGTTGTAGTTTATTTTTTTTTCATGTGTGTTAACATTTTCAACTTTTTGTCATTTCAGTCTTGTGAGGAATGTAAAACAAATGGGAAAGGTCATGGGTAAGCCAAAAATCACTTGTATCTTACACACACAGGCTGGGATGGCCCAGCAGTCTCTCTGCAACCCCTTCCTGCCCAGCAGGTTTGTTTGTAGCTTGCAAATCATGCATTCATTTCTGAGTTGGTATTCCATTGAGAAGTCTACTCCCCTGAACTTGAAGACTGGGAAATATTATGCTAATGTGGTGGTATAATTGAAAAGAAATCTGCTTGCATAACCTTCACAATCAACATGACTTTGAATAGTAAGAATGCCTTTGTTCATGCTTTCATCCTTCATGCATTTCTGGATAGCACCAACAAGTTGTGAGAAAGGCCAATTTTAAGGGCTTGCAAAAGAAAAAACCACAATCATTAATATTCAATATACTAATAGCTTTTGTGCGCTAGAGCACAATCCCTTAAGTTCTCCTGCACAAGTCCCACTGAGTTGAAAGAGAACTGCACCTGCACAACTCCCAGTAACTATAAAATGGACTGAACACCACTTTTCCAGAGGGCTGTATTCCTAACAAACACCACGAATGCACAATTCCAAAAAGCTTCCTGTTGCCCTGTGTGTCCATTTATGGAAGTCAGTTTTACATTGTTTTGGCAAATATGCAATCCTTTTTGATATTTTTGTCAAGAGGCACTAATGTCTGGGTTCAAAATCTCTAAGGCAGAGCAGAAGATCTTCAGCCATTTATCAAAGAAAAATAAATCTGAGCAACACAAACTTCAGATGGGACAGCATAGTCATTTAATAAAGGCTATGATGTACCGGCACCTGGCAATGCAGTGTGGGCAATTCAAAGGAGGCTTGCCTTGATAGATTTACATCCCTGTCTTTCCAACCCCAAGATAATCCAATTATTAAATTTACCAGAAGTCTAGCTTGCTTAGAATATGTTAGTGATAGTCTTGAACATTTTTGTAATACAACTAGAAAACCTAAGTAAACATTATTTTTCATTTTACAAATTTCAAGACATTTCAACATTCCCCACAAAAAGCAGAATAAATAACAGACAATCACAATCTCAAATCATTTTAGGCTCTTCTGTTCGTTTGGGACTTTAAAAAAAGTAAGAACACAACAAATTTACTTAAAAATGGAGTGGTCAGTTTATTCCATTTAGAAGATGGGATACTGCCTTTTGCCCCCGAGTTTAGATAGAGAAACCCAGGCCTGAGTAGAAGAAGCCACTGGCCATGACTGCTCCAAAGCTTCACCAGTTTCAAGACCACTAATGCACCGTGTGCCACAAACATCTGGCAGACCTGGTTTCAAACCACCTGCCACAGTCTTGTCACATAGCAAGACACTAGCACAAGGTGGCTTCAGAGGATGGAGACGAACAAGCCGAGCCAGTCCAGTGTGTAGCCACTTCTGCACAAGACCGGCTGGTTCAGCTTGTCTTACAAGAACTTTGCCTAGTGAAGCATCAGAAGCTGGCTGAACAATCTACCTTAATGAATTATTTTGAGGAGAATATGGTAAGTACTGGAATAAAATGTTATATGTGATAAATAATGTTGCATGGGCCCTATCTAAGCACAATAGTAATGAAATGCAGCTGCAAAAATAAGATAGCATGCTGCCTTCCACATCAGAACCATCTCACAATACTCTTAAATAAAAGCAGATGTGCCCAGATCCATCCCACAATGCCCATTTTAGCATCACTTCTTCAATTTAAGCCTATAAACTATAGTTTTGTAACAAAATACTTGGGGTTTCTTAGAATATTATCAGTGGAAACTTTGTTAAAGTAAGTTACTATCTTTCAGGTTGAAGTGGAACTGACATACCACATTTTGGAGTATGACATATACCAGGATGTGACAGTAAGCACACAATGAATTTGTTGGTACAATGGATTGGGACTGCATTTTATAAGGTGCCTTTTTCAGAGGACAACTTTTTGTGTATCGGCTTCCCTCCACATGTGCACATACAGATAGAGGCACACATGTCCATGATTTCTATGTTCTGTCTTACATTTAAATGACTTTTATGTAGGAAAACTGGCATGTGTGATGAGGCACAACGGGATTCTTTATTGTCACACTGTTACCCATAGAGAACTATATGTCCTCCACATTAAGACTAGGCTCAACATACATTTTTCCCTCTCCCAAAGGAGAGGCTTAAAAAATAGTAAGCTTTCAGCCATATGGTTTCTGACCAGATAAGATTGTGTGGAATGCATTGGTAAGACTGAATGCCTCATGGCATGCCTCAATTATAAGCTGACGTCAGATCATCATCCAGTGGTACAAAACCACAAATAGGACAGTTTGTGGGGACACCCTCATAGAAAGAGGACAGAAGTAAATAGCCTTCATTTCATTTGCCAAAGAACAATGTAATCCAGCACATAATTCCAAGGAGGTATGGGCTACCTCTATAATGAACCCCCTGCCCCTGAAAACATGAATTGGAAAGTCAGTGATGTGTGTGGGTACATTTGTTTGCAGTCCATGCCTGCTAAGGGTTGTGCAAATGATTTTACACAGCATGATATTAGTACCGCTCTGCACTATAATTCTTTTTGTAAATAAAAATTAAAAAACACCCTAGTCAGAAATAACTGACAAAATTTTACATTCTTCTCTCTTAAAAAAGTAAATAAAATAACATTATTTAAATTGTGAATTATCTGTAAGACATACATTACAATTACATAGATATATATCAATACAGCACATTCAATCTGCCAAAATTAATGATTACAAAGCCAATATGGATGCTGCCATATATATATATTATATATTATATATATATATGTATGTACAATGATTATAGCATTCATAATTGCACTATACCTACAACCATTTTAAAAATTACAAGATTTTTCATGATAAGGGAACAAAAGCAGCTCACATTTCATTAATTATGATGGAAAGAGTTAAGGGTGAGCTAGGTCTCATTAGTATTTATTGAGGGCTATTTGTCAAGCACTGCTCTGGTATCAACCATGCTCATTACAGTGGGAATCCAGCACCAGTGCCACTGGAATTAATGCTCCATAGATTGGACTCATATTTGGTACTAAACTAATAAGCTGTCCTTCACCATCTCCTCTGCCAAAACAACAGCTGAAACAATGGTTTTGACTTATAAGTGCATTTTAGAAGACACGGCATTTTAGAAAAGTTAGTCCAGTTTCACATGTGACCTTTCTACTCCTCGTACACAGCTCTATCACTTGACAGCAATCTTATTTACAGGGTTGTTTTTCAACAAAACCATAACAATTAGGTTTCAACCCAAACATGTAATAAAAGAGATGCTCATCCAGGCATTGCAGTCTTGTGGTTGTTGCTGTTGAATTTTATTGTTACAAACTGATAAACATATCCTATGCATGTCCACTCAAGACGAAATTCCAACTGAATTCACTGGGACTTACCCCAGGTAAATGTTCATAGGACTGCTGCCTTAGCCTTCCAATAGGTTGTATTAGGCCATTTAATATATAGTAAAAATTCTATGAAAGGCTCCCGCTTAGAAATTCCCAAATCTATTAAGTGACCATACCAAGGATGCTTTATTTTTCATTTTGTATCTTTCACTTAAAGGTGCATTAAGAAAGAAAAAAACCCCACTGTGCAATGCTATGCCACCATAGATAAGTGTAAAACTGTCTTTGAATTAAGAGACTAGATGCGTGTGTGTATGTAGCACCAAATAACTTTTTCACTCACACTGCTTTTTTTGGCATTGAGAATGGAATGCTTTCTAATACAAAGAGGGAACATAGAAGCTGAAATGTAGCTGCTTAAATGTTTGGCAGTTTTCTGGAATAAATTCCCAATCAGTTAACTTGGCATTCTAAATCTGTATCTTACATTTCAAAGTTAATGCTTCTATATATTTTTTAAAAAGAGCCAAATTTGGCAACATATAACATTGTAGACAGTAAAGTAGAACTGAAATTGTGGTGAGAAATCTAAACAGCCTGATTACTTAAAAAAAAAGTTCTGGGCTATTGTCCATGACATTTGGCATCTGTGATTAGGAAAAAAGGAAAACAGCCGTGGAAGAGAGAAAGAGAAACACAGAAAAGTAATGGCATGTGGCAATTAAAAAACATAAAGCTATCCTACTTCATGAATTCCTTTTGTGTCTTAGTAGTTTGTTGCAGTTAGCTGAGTTTCCATGGTACAATAAAAGGTGAAATCTGTTAACACTGCTACAAATAATGTTTCCACTGAAACAACACTCTCAGCCTTCAGTGCAAAAAATGCCAAAAAGCAGACATATTTGACATCTCTGCCAAACATTAAGAAATAAAAGTAGAGTATCAATACATTTGATCCTTCAAAAAAGTAGTTACTGAAAAATCAGAACAACTGATGGCTTAGATTGTAGTGCCAGATTTTTCCTGACCAAATTACTATAAAGGAAAACCAAGGCATGACATTTGGGGGGAAGGCCATTGTACCTTAAAAAATTAAAAAGAAAGAAAAACAGAGACAAGGGAGACACCAACTTGATTTTGCTTTAGTAACCAAGAAAAGAAATCAATCCAAGCCCCTATCCTTTATGAGTGCATGACTGAGAATTTAAAACATATTGAGTCATGAGGTTTTGACTTAAAAAATGAGGAAATGTGCTGCAAAGGTAGTTCAGCATCTCTTGTTTTTCCTCTGTAAAGTTTAAATAAAATCATAATATTTACTATAAACTCTGTGAACATTAACAGAGTCCAGGCCAGCAATAAATTAGTATTATGCGGATCATTTTCACAGATAATACAGTCCCTCTTCAATATCTTCAATTGCCCGTGGGGGGGTAGGGGGATGGAGAACTAAGAGGCACAGTTAGACCAAGTTGTACTCCTTCAGGTTTAACTGTAGGATAGTGTCCTTGACAGCAGCAAAGACGAAGCGGATATTCTCTGTGTCTGTGGCACACGTGAAGTGGGAATAGATAATTTTTTCACTCTCTGGATTCAGGTCAACAAACATCTTCAGGATGAATTCCCTTGCTGCTTGTGCATCCCTCTGAGGTCCTGTTATAGCAGGAAAAAGCTTAACTTTAGCAAACTAAATACATGGCTAATTTTCATTATGTAATGATCTCTTTCTACAAAAAATAGGAAAAGAAATGGATTCAGACAATGTTTAATACAAACTCCACTGGAAAAAAAAAACCATTTTTTATGTATCAGTTGTATCATGTAGTCCTGTACTAGTCTTACCAAGCCAAGAATTTTCAAAAAATTAAGCTGTGAGATTTTTCAAAATTTCACACTGGCCACAATTTCCCAGGCATTGCCCTCAGCTGGAATGACAGAGCTCTCTCTCCTATGGCTCTTTTTGCAAACAAGGCGAGTTGGTTGCAACACGAGTAAGTCAATAGGAAGACAAGAGGCTCTAAATAATCTAATAGCCAAACAAGGTCATAGATGAAGTCCTTTGTCTACCACAACTCCTCCTCCCGCTCACACTGGGAGAAGGAACAGCACACACACAATGCCACTGCAGCTACTGGAGTGGAGGGCAGAGGAAAGAAGGTATGTGGACTTTCCAAGTCTGGGAAGAGGGAATGAGCGTAGGTAGTACTCATTCTAGTGGGGAAGACAACATAATAAGGATTTCTACTCAGGTCTGTCCCTGTAAGAGTTTTTCAGCAGTTGTACAATTCTCTGTACTTCTCAATGTGAAGGAAGATTCCTGGATCTCTAGTGAGCAGAACACAGTGAGTATTTGTATATAAATGCTGAAACATTCCTTTCAGCAAGATTGTGCAGGTTTCTCCTTGTAATATCTGCATTTGATACATTTGACTCAGGACTGGAAAAAATATAAAGCGTGCATGTCATGTATGTACATGTGTGTGTAAGCCTTCCTAATGAACAGTGAGAACTTCCAGCATTGCTCTGCAATGTCCTTCACTCATTTGAAGCATGCTTGCAATAGTGCTTCATCTTAAACCTTCTCCGGATAATTGGAAGACAGAAAGCAGTGGAATTCAAGGGTTGTGTCACCAACATTGGTTGTTTTACCAATCCAACATCTGTTATTGTGAAGAGCTAATTAAAAAAACAGAATGCACCATGTGGGGGTATCCAATGGTATCATTCTGCATACTCAAAAAGTGCTACCAGAGAGCCACCTGATATTTCTGCTGTGCAAGCAGTTGTGCATCACTCTGACAGACCTGCAATAATTTCAAGTTGCACACCTTAGCATGTACATGTCTTATTTCAGTTGGATTCTCCTCTTGGGCATAGTCTGGAACTAGTTTCTGCTACTGCAGTATCATTTGCACTAATGGAATGACACGGCTGGATAATGCCCCTTGATCTGCACGATAATATAAATATTTGATACTGGCAGAACTGAAGACAGAGACAGACAAATAGTGAAATACGTTTGCTTCCTGACAACACTGCAAAATTGTTCTCTTGCTATTATTAGGTCTGTAGTATAAAACCATATGAAAGGATCTCTCTTACCATCATACTCTGGGAAATAGTCAACTAGATGGGAGTACATTATTTTTTCCTCTAGAAGATCTTTCTTATTCAAGAACAGAATGACTGAAGAGTTTTGGAACCAAGGATATGTGATAATCGTCCTAAATAGTGCTTTGCTTTCCTCCATTCGATTCTGGAGAAGAGAAATATATACATATAATTAAATCAGAGAATCATGCATTCACAAAATTGACAGTAATTTCAGTAAATGTTCCAGAAAGCATGATTAAACTGCTCATCTTTGATCAGGTTGATACGAAAAAGTTGTTCAGTATAAGCTCTGTCATATCATCAACCAGAATAAAGAGAGAGTTTGCATGATTCATCCCTCCCCTGGCCATAGGCTATCCTTTAAGTTTCCAGTTTAGCACTAGCCATGGTTTGTTGCAATGTCTGAATCAGACAAGTGTTTGATTCAGTGTTTTCCCCACAAATTGGGGAAACTAGAAACCCTTGAACCATGTTTTTCTGATTCAGGTTTGGAAAGCAAGGACTAAGCATAGTTTGCCAATCTGTACACGGCAGCAAAACAGAGTTTTCTAAAGAAGAAACTGAAAGCAAAGCCATGTAAAAGAGGGGAGAGAGGTGCACTTGAGTCTTCAGCTTTTTCTGAACACTCCAAACTAAGGACTGAAGGATTGTCTGAATAAAACGGAACCTCCATTCACACTGCAGATATAATTAAATGTCAATGAATTAAGAGAAAGTACACTGACTGCTATTTAAAAAGCCTCACTTTTGCTATCATGTAAGTTGGACAGCTTACATGATAACTGAGAATCACTTTATGTTGTGACAACAAAGGTATGTATTTGTCCAGCAATGAGAGCTAGAAGCTTTTTATAGTGAAAATGTATTTGCTATGAATCAAGAATCTCATAAAATCTTGAGGGCGAGGACACACAACAACATAATGTGCATCAGAAGTTTCCCTGGTAAAACTGAAATGCAAGCTTATTCTTCCAAAAGCCTTCACACTCCAATACAAAGTAACCCAAAAGCAGAGTAATTGCAAGGAACATAACTCCAGCAAGACAAATAGAAGGAGGCAAACTTTCTTGATCTCTTTAGCCATTTTGACTTGAAGAGAGAACTGCACAACATTAATATGGCCCTAAGTCAGACTTCAAATGTGAACAATAACCATCTACTCAAGTTTTACAAAAATAGACATTTAAAAGAGCAATTTAACCAAGCAATACTCTGTTTGTAGTTGCAGCAGAATGAGAATCTTTGGATTCCAGGCTTAGTAAAATCCTTGTAACCTTGCCACAGTTTTAAGCATCACCCCACAAGACTGTGACATGTGATTGGATCACTTCACACTTTCCGCCGAACTGACAATAAAGAAACCACAAGTGATTTTCACTGCCAGAAATTCCTGCTTTTTGTCTCATGATGAAAGCATGTGTTTTTCAATCAATGTATCTGTGTATGTGTATACCTACCTACCAAAGTAAAGTCATAAATCATTACAGCACCTATGTAACTTTAATAGGCTTACTTGGGTGGAAGATATGTAGGGAAATCTACATTGCCACATGTGGGTATGCACGTTTCACCTTTTGCCTAAGAAATGTACATGGAAATATGATATTTGATTATAATGCAAGCATTTGTGGACTTCATTAGATGAATGAAGTGACTCTAGGTATCACTGCCTTCAAAAGAAAAAAAGGTTTGTCCCATTTAAAAATTCCTGTTCATCAACATTTGACTGCAGCAACAATTCTAGTTGGAACAAGAAATCCTCATGTGAATAACTTATCACAGAATAATTGTCATATAACAAACCATCACTCCATGTCAAGTTTTTCAGTAACAACACTTCACACATTCTAACAGGGCAAAGCCATGTCAAGAGATGAATGGCAGGTCATCAAGTGATTACATGTATGTCTACATTTGTCTGCAGTTTCCTTTCTAGGGACTTAGCTGCTATTCTACATTAAGTAAGTTGGAAAAGCAGGTTGCTTACCTGTAACTGATGTTCTTCGAGTGGCCATCTGTGCATTCACACATATGGGTTGCTGCGCCTGCGCAGTGCCTAGGCCGGAAGATTAGAAAGCTAACGGTTTTTGGCGGGAAAACTCCGCTCCCCTCCCCCTTCGTGGTATAAATAGAGCGGAGTGTCAGCCATTTTACTCAGTCTTGAAGCCCGCACGTTCGCCCTCTAGAGGTTAAGAATAAAAGTAATGAGAAAACACAATTATATCCGAATGGTACCGATGTGAATTATAGTACGGTACCGAGAACAATACCTAGTCAGTGATATAACCCAACGGTACCAATGCAAATTATATTTCGGTACCGAAAACAATAACCACCCAGCAACATAACCCAAATGGTACTGATGCAATTTATAGTACGGTACTGAGAAAAACGATATCCACTCACTCACACCGAGTGGGGCTGGCGGGTGGGTTGTGTGAATGCACAGATGGCCACTCGAAGAACATCAGTTACAGGTAAGCAACCTGCTTTTCTTCGTCGTGGCCTCTGTGCATCACACATATGGGTGATTTGCAAGCTTACCACAGTTGGAGGAGGGAGGTGTTGTCAGCGAAGAATGGATGAGAGAACAGCTCTACCAAAAGAGCAGTCTTGTCTGGCACGTACATCAAGCCGATAGTGCTTGGCGAAAGTACATGGACCAGCCCAGATCGCAGCTCTGCAGATGTCTTGCAGCGAAACCCCTGTGGCAAAAGCAGAAGAGGTCGCTACTGCTCGTGTAGAGTGGCCACTTGGAAAGACAGGTAAGTCTATTTTTGATAGCTGATAAGCCAGGACAATAGTCTGGATGATCCAATTAGAGAGTCTCTGAGATGATATCGGTGATCCCTTTTCACACTCGGAGTATTTAACAAAAAGTCTATTAGTAGTACGAAAAGATTCAGTGCGGGATCTGTAAAAGGCCAAGCAACGGCGAACATCAAGCATGTGTAGAGCACGTTCTATCGGGGTCAACGGCGATGGAAAGAATGCCGGCAGAACGATGTCCTGATTCAGGTGGAAGGGTGTGGCCACCTTGGGTAAAAAGGAGAAATCCATCCGAAGGATGACTTTTTCCTTATGGCAGTTCAGAAATGGTGGGTCTATGCGGAGAGCACAAATTTCGCTAGCTCTCCGTGCTGATGTAACTGCTACGAGAAAGGCAGTTTTCCATGACACCAGGCGTAAGTCCACAGTTGCTAAAGGCTCGAACGGTGGTTTGGTAAGCACTTGGAGCACTACGGAAAGACTCCACGTTGGCATGGCAGGGCGAATAGATGGATGTAAATTTTGTAGTCCCTTAATGAAACGCCGAACCAGCAGTTGAGAGAAGACTGATAATCCGTGGATAGTGCCACGATAATGGGATATAGCGGCTGCATAAACTTTGATGGATGATGGTTTAAGTCCCTCATGATGCAAATGCAAGAGAACTTGTAAAATATTGGTGACTGAAGCCGTTCCAGGGGAAAAGGAATGGCACTCTGCAAAAAAGGAAAATCTTCTCCATTTAGCCATATAGGAACGACGAGTGGACGGTCTCAATGCAGATTTGAGAATCGCCTGAATTTCTCTGTCCGTAGGCATCGGTACCGTGGCAGTTGCTGTCGAATCCGCAGTCAGGGCCGCATATACCGTCTGTTGAGTAAGGTCACCTGTAGGGTGAGGTGTCCCTGGTATCAACTCAGTGGCATGAATCAGGTGATTCGCCATGCCGTCAGCTTCAGAGAGAGTATATCCGGATGATGGATTGCTCCTCCTTGTTAACACATGCGGAAGAGTTGGTAGATGAAGGAACATTCTTCTGGACAGCAGGAAAAGAGTGGCAAACCATGGTTTGCTCGGCCACCACGTAGTCACTAGTATCCCCGTGGCATTGTCCTGGGCTATTTTCGCAACCACTCTTGTCAGGAGTGGGATTGGGGGAAAACGCATAAAAAGTCATGTTGCTCCAAGGGACCATAAGAGTGTCCCCCATCGATCCCGGCCTGACGCCTGCTCTGGAACAGTAGAGGGTACACAGGCTGTTCTCTCGAGTGGTGAACAGGTCCACGTCCGGATAACTCCACAAGTGGAAGGGTTTCTCGCAAATTTGTTTGTCCAACTCCCATTTGTGGATTGTTGACATCTGCCTGCTTAATGTATCTGCTTCGACGTTGTTGGTTCCAGCCAGATGAACTGCCATAAGCATGATGTTCCTCGGTATGCACCAGTCCCAAATGTCCATCGATAGGCGTGCTAAGGCTGGGGATTTTGTGCCCCCCTGCTTGTTGATATAGAAAACTGCTGCTATGTGGTCTGATGCAATTTGGACAACTTGACGGCATAACACAGTCTTGAAAGCCTTGAGGGCGTTGAAAATCGCCAGAAGTTCCAGAAAGTTGATATGTTTCCTTGCCTCTCGTTGGTTCCAAGTACCTTGAACATGCCGCACCCCATCCAAGGAGGGATGCGTCGGTGCACAGAGTTGTCGTTGGCCGAGGTGGTCGAAATGGGGCGCCGATTGACAGGTTGTCTGTGATGGTCCACCACGTTAAGTGTGAAGGATTGCAGATGGAATCCGAATCGGCTTGGTGGCAGGATCTTGTTGCGGTTGAAAAGCAGCATTGAAAAACAGTTGTATGGGTCGCATACGTAGTCTGGCATATGGGACAATGGCAACTGCAGCAGCCATATGCCCCAGTAGTCTCTGAACGGATAAGGCTGGGACCGTTCCGTGTAGCCGAATCTGATGAATATGGCTGCATAAGGCATTCTGACGTTCTGGTGGGAGGAAGGCTTTTTCCTGTGTCGAGTCGTGCCCCGATGAAATCGATGACCTGCATGGGAATAAGGGACAATTTGTCGCGGTTAATGCAGAGACCGAGAGCATCGAGTAGAGCGCAGGTCATTTGTATATCAGACAGGAGAGCTTGCTCGGATTGTGAGACGATTAGCCAGTTGTCTAAGTATGGGTATATCTGTATTCCCCATGTCAAGTGTGCGCATACCGGCGCCATACACGTCGTAAAGACTCGAGGGGCTGTGGCCGAGCCAAAAGGTAGGACATTAAACTCGAACAGTTCAGATCCGACAGTAAATTGTAGAAAGCGTCTGTGTGCAGGATGGATGGAAATATGAAAACAAGCATCCTTTAAATCC